AACTAAGTTATAACTTTTATTTTCCAAAGTACCAGCAGGGTTAGAACCTGATCCTGGACCAGAACCGGCTGGTTCTGTGGCCCAAACAGACTCTAACAGAACTTTGTTCACAGTCTTTGATATTAATCTGATAATCAGTTTTAATGTTTCTGTCTCTCTTCTGTCAGACGGGACGGAAACCTTGGCTCAGTTCCTGAGGTCAGAGGTCAGAGAGGAAACCGTCCGGTTCTGGTCGGCCTGTGAGGAGAACAGAACCTCTGGTCCAGAAGCCCGGCTGCTGTCCAGAACCTCGTATGTTTCTAGAGTCGTCGTGGATCCAGAAAGCATCAGACAGGTAGATGGAGACGAGTTGATGAACCACGTCTGATTTATTCTGATTTTATTTCTGTTTCATCTGAAAAACGTTTTGAATTCATTTCAGTAAAAACTCTGAGCTCTAATCTAATAACTTTATGATTTAAACTGATTCTGATGTTTATCTGTGTTAATAACTGACCTGCTGCTGTTTGGTTTTATTCTTCCAGAGGTTCAGGACATCATCTGACCTCTGACCTCCAGCTGCTGCTTCACCTTCAGTTTTTTATTGCTTCAGACCATCATCAGCTTCATCATCGTTTCCCTCCAGATGTTTAATAAAATGTTTCCATCACAGTTTGGTCTCCAGTGAATTATTGAAGTTTTTCATTATTTTTAATCGTTGATCTTTCTGGTCTCTGCGGCTTCAGACAGAAACGATCTGATGGTTTCCTGTTTCTCATCAATGATCTGCAGATCATCAAACAAAAAGCAACAAACCGCAGCTTGAAACAGGCTTCAGTGGAAACTTCCAGGTAATAACCACTGTGTGTGTGTGTGTGTGTGTGTGTGTGTGTGTGTGTGTGCAGAGCTATTGGTTTATTAAACCAACAGCCATGCCTGCTCTCCTGTTTCAGCAGGTGTTACATCTAAATGTGTCCCCTTTGTGTTTTCTCGTCTCAGCTGCAGGTCAGAGCCAATCAGATTCATCCAACCTTCACTGACGTCTGATTTGATGCTTTACAACAACAAAAGGCCTTAAACTCTCATCAACTTAAACTGCCAGAAATAAAATCTTAACTTTATTTTTTAGTCTTTAAATAAAGTCTTATACATTTTAGGGAATGGAAAGAAGATCCACATGTTTTCATCCAACACTGAAGAACCTGAACTAATGGAATCGGCGCCTCCTAGTGAAGCGTAAAAGTACGGTGGAGCATTAGGGTCAAAATGAAAGACAAAATTACAGCTTAAAGTTATAAAATTATTAGAATAAAGTCATAATGCAGACTCAGTTATTAAATCAGATTAAAATATTATTTTACAGAAACAGCAGAAACTTTTAACCAAATCTTCTTTTCCTCCTCATCTTTACACTGTAACCCATGGTGTCTGCAGCAGAACCAGATCAGAACCGGACCAGAACTGGACCTAAACTGGTCCAGAACCGGTCCAGACTCATTCTGGTTTCCATGGCGATCTCCTTCATTCCTGCATCAGGCTGAATGTCTCAGACAAACTCAGACATGTTCAGATCTGAATGTTTCCCTCTTTACATCAGCAGCAGGAGAGGTCAGAGGTCACACCTGCTCAGGTAAAGAGGGGAGGGGTTCTGTACAGTAAACAGAAACTTTATATTCAAAATAAGTTCAGATGAATGAAATATAACAAATCAATTCACTGATACAGGTGAGTGAATCCTGTAAACATGAACAGTTAAAATATGATGTCAGAAAATACTGACAGAGAAAAACTGATGGTTTATAATAAATAAGATTATAACATAAATACGAAAAAGTGAGATTTTACTTTATATTTTCCCAGACACTAAACCCTGACCTGCTGCTGTTTGATTATAGATTATTAATAATCAGAACAATGATCAGTTTATGATGATGAACTTCAGCAGAGATTTCACAATAAAAGACTTCCTGTCTCACATGGTTCATCTCATTCTGCTGCAGCTTTATGAATATTAAACAAAATCAGTTCAATATATGAAGTTACTTTATTTAATTTACTGAACAAATGAAGATTTAACGATGAAATGAGACGTTTAGTCTGAGTGTTGGAGTCGATCAGAAACAGGAGAGTTAAAGTTTACACAGCAGAGGTCAAAGGTCACCTGAGGAATCAGTCAAGTTACTGATTCATTTAAAATTTAAACTAAATGTTTTTCTGATGTTTTTCACTGAATCTGAACTTAATTTAGTTAAAATCACTGAAGCAGAAGAAACTTTAATAATCAAACTTGTTTTTATTGTTGACAGTAAACAGATGTGGAGAATAAATATTATGAACTCAGATACTTCAGTTAAAAACTGTAATTAAATAGTATTTCTATTTTATTCTAACCTTTGACTTTGTGAATCTTCAGATATTCTCCAGTTTTCTCCTCCCAGCTCCAGTTTATCATCTTCACATTCCTCAGTGAATCATTCCCAGGTGATCAGAGTCAATCTGTAACCAATAACTGATCAAATCACTGATGATGTTTCATTTTGTTTCTTTTCTCTGCTGTGAACTGAAACATTCCTGGATGTTTGACTTCTACGTGTCTCTACCTGAACCTGAGCTGCTCACCTGTGTTTACCAGAGTGGGCGGAGTCAGAGCTGCTGGGTCACAGAGTGCAGACCGACTGGAGGACAGAGTGAAACCTGGCAACGTGGAGGAGAAGATCAGGGTCACCATGAAACGCTGCAGGTCAGTTTCCTCTTTACTGCTGGTTTTAGATAATATCTGGAGCTGATCGAACCAATAATGATCAATAATTTACTGAATAGATGATCAATAATTTACTGAATAGATGATCAATAATTTACTGAATAGATGATCAATAATGTCCAAACTGAGTCTGACCTTCAGCTTCCTGCGGTCTTTCCTCCTTCAGGCTGCAGGGCTGAATTTAGTCCGAAATAATTTAGTTTTGATTCAAAATGTTTGTTATTTTATAGCAGAATTAATGAATCTGATCTGATCAATATGTAGATCAACTAATAGATGATTTACAGGCAGATTTATGGAACATATTTAAACTTCTGGGTTTAATTTTTTTGTCATTTTAAGCCTTCAAAGCCAAGAGCTTTCAGGCTTGGACTGTTTCTGATTTAAGTTTATACCTGGTTTCTCCAGTTAAAACTGTAGTTCAGTTAAAAGTTTCCAGTTAAATCCTAACATCTTGTCCTTCCTGAGGTTTTGCTCTGGTATCATTTGGTCTTTGACTCCTTGTAGAAATTATGTTTTGTTGATCCAGTTTGCAGTGTTTTGTACTTGCTGTTGTTTTTTTCTATTTCTGGCATTTTCCATTTTTAATTTAACTTTCTGTAGTTTGGGCATTTTATCTATAATGCAACATTTTTTAGCATTTTCCTTTTTCACTTATTTTGTTGATTTCCGGCTTTTGCTTCTATTTTCTGTGACTGAAACGTTTTTGTCTGCAGCTGCAGCATTTTTTGTGTTTTGCATTATTGATGTGTTTGCAGCTTGTTTCACCGTTTGCTGCATGTTGAACTTGTCAGTAACTATTAAAAGCTCCAGGCCAGAAGCAGCAATAAGAGAATAAACAGAGAAGTTCAAGTTAAAAGCACAAATGACAGAAAACATAAAATTAGAGAGCAGAAGGAGAAATACCAGTCAGATTGATCAGTTTATTCCTTGGATCTTCATGTTCTGATTGCTGAATAATTATAAAATCTTTCCAAACATTTCAGGTGAAACTGGTGTTGATGATTCAGTTAAACTAAATTTATTCTAATGACACTAATAACTTATTAAATGAAGTAAAACCTTATTAATTCTGGTAAATATGTCAGAAACATGAAAACATGAATAAATGGAGCTAATTCCCTCATTCTGAGAATAATTATTCACACATTGTTTTAAGCATTATGTAAAGCTTTATATTAATTCAGGAGGAAAATATCAAACAGAAACACAAAACAAAAACTGAGTCAGAACAACAAACCTTTACAGAACACAGTGTAGAAACAAGATGAACAACAAAAGAAGTTAAAATGCTGTTTTGATTTAAATAAATATGCATTAAAGGAGAAAAAAATTACTCATAAAATGTTGATTTGATTATATTTAATATTTTCCTGCTACGGTTCGTCAAAACGTCTCTGACTCTCATGTTTCCTCGGCGATCTGATCGTTTCTTCACAGTTTAATACGTTTAAAACACAATAATGATCCGAAATATTAAAGTTTTCCTAATAATCCATCAGTTTTTATTGTGATGATGTTTGAAGTCTTATCATCTGTCAGCCGATCCAGATTAATGTTGCTTTCTGATTAATAATTATTTAGTTTATGGACTGAATGAAGCTGTTACTAATATCATGATGTGTTTGATTGTAAATGATATAAATCACAATATTAGACCAAGACATTGGGTGCGTTCACACTGCAGCCTGAAGTGACTCAATTCCGATTTTTTGGCAATTCTGATTTTTTTGCCTTGTAAACGGGCAAACGACCTGAAAGTGTCCCGCATGCGCAGTAGAGGGCGCAATAGCTTCAGCGTTCTCAGTGTTCTGCCAACCGCCATAAAAAGAAGAAGTGCTCAGTGTTTAGTAAACATGGAGGCTAACGGTGGAGCTTAGCTTACATATTTGAAGTTGTTGTCCAACCGGAGCAGCATATTAACAACTTAATCCTCATATAATCCGTCATGGTTGCTGTTTTTCTTCCCGCTTGCGCGTATCAGGAAGCAGAATAGTGAGATTTGTAGAGAATCAGTGACGTTCAGTTCGGATGAATACGACCTGGACGTTAGGTCGCATTTGAATCGGATACGTATCGGATATGGGTCAGATTTGAAAAAGAATCTGACCTGTGCTGTTCACACTGCCATGAAAAGATCAGATACAGGTCGCATTACGTCAAAAAAATCAGAATTGGGTCACTTCAGGCTGCAGTGTGAACGCACCCATTGAGTCCTGACATGATGTTTAATATCTGATTAATATGAAAATAATAACGAATAAAATGATCTGAGATGTTCTGGTTCATCTTGCTCATGATGTTTGGCTGCTGAAAGATTTCAGTTAAAAACATTTTAAAAAATGATCAGCTGAGATTTAAAATACAAAGAAATTAAATTTAGTCAAATGTAGTTTTTATTAGCAGAGGAGTTAAAAGGGAGACAGAGAGGCAACACATTTCAGATTGAATAATAACTTTTAAAAGTTGACATATTTCACAGAAAAAAAATATATTTTCTGTCAGGCAGCAAGAATGAAATGGCAGCATCCTGATGTTGCTGCCCTGATTTGGTTTAGAAATCCAGCAGAAACAATAATCTGATCATGTCCTCAGATTAAAGGCATTTACAGCAAATCTACAGATCAACTAGAGGATTTGAGGTTTTCTTCCTGAAACAAGCTGATTGTTTTTTATAGATCAGAAATGAAACACCAGCAACAGCAAAAGCTAATAAGATCAGACCAACAATCAGTCCGATGGATCCATCATTGGTTCCTCCATCTTTGTCCCCTGCAGAAAAACAAACACAGAACAAGACAATGAGCCGATTGGATCAGATTTAAGATGTTTCTGTCTGAGATCCAGAACCAGGAAGCTGCTGGTTCTGATCCAGAGTCAAACTCTCACCTGGAGGAAGAACCTGCAGGTTGATGGTTCTGATCAGTTCAGCATCAAGGCTTCCTTCATATTGGACTCGGCACTGATATAGTCCCGTATCGTTAGTCGTCAGGTTCTTCAGAACCAGAGACACGTCTCCATCCTTCACCTGTCGGTCCATCAGATCCACCCGGTTCTGATACGATGGGTTCTGGTTTTCTGGATCAATCCGACCGTCTCGGTACAGAAGAACATATCCTGAGCCCAGATCAGTTCTGATCCAGATCGGTTCTGATCCAGATCGGTTCTGATCCAGTCCACAGCAGCAGCAGGTTTGTTACCAGGAAGTCTACATGGCAGAGAGATGTTCTGTCCAGGTTCAGCTGTTTCTCTGACGGCTGGAGAGGAAAGCAGAGAGGTCAGAGGTCAAACTGGACCAAAGAGAAAAGAGCCTAATATGGATGTTCACCAATAACAGCCTCATTAGGATTAACACCAAGATAAAATCAAGTTTTTATCGTTTTATTAAATTCACAGAAATAGAAGGAAGAATCATTTCTTCCAGCTCTGTTGGGATCCGGGGTGTGGGACGGTTGTGTTGTTGTTGTTTTCCATTAAGCCACCAGAGGGTGCCCTGAGGCTGCTTTCACCTGAGGGG